AAGCTGCACAAGTGGCCAGGTGCTTTTCAGTATAACTCCGGCCGCTTTAGCAATACATTCGGCAATACAATCTTTTTTTATACCGTGTGCGCGTGTATGTGTGTACGTGTATGTGTGTGGATTGATTCTCACGCTTGCGATGTGCGGTGTGTCGATACGCTACGTCTTCTCGTCTAACACGGTGTAATCTTCGCGGTTCGTGTTGATAGGTAATCGATTGATCTCAGTGATAACATTACACGACCTGCCGCGTCTCTTCTCAACGAGCCAATACCGCACGTGTGCCCCTTCATCCGCCCCGATAATTGATTATTTTGAACATTCTCTGCCAGTTACATGCCGGAAAAGTAATTAACGAAATGGTGAAAAATCGTCCGACAGCGTAGTGTCTCTTTTTTCTTTTTTTTTTCTTTTTTCCTCTCTCTCTCTCTCTCTCTCTCTCTCTCTCTCTCTCTCACTTCAATCGTATTCAACGATCGGGTAATTTCAGTGACTTTTGTGCTCGTTTCAGCTTGTTAACTTTCGCGACGTGTCGCAGCCGTTGTATAGATTACACTAGTAACTAACGTCACGCATACGTTACTATTGCAACACACACAGGTTCGCCCAGTGGCCGATTTAAACGATTTAGGCGGGCAAATTTGTTAAGAGACTGTTTTATCTTTTTGTGCAAATCTACAGCCTCGATCGGGAATAGAAGCACGTGCGGGAACGTAACGTAAAGTAATGAAAATAAAGCGGATACAGTAAAGAATAAGATGATAATCGAAATATATATCAACGATGGTCATTGCGTTTCTAGAGTTTCGACAATTTCTGGAATTCTATGTTCAAACAACCAGTGCCACGTTTACAACTGAACATAAGGTTGTAATCAGCGAGCGTTGTATGAAACATTTTAGAATTTTATCAACACCAGCGACCAGATAGAAATGTATTGTCGTGAATATATTAGAATATATTAAAATTTCGAAATCTATGTCACTGTGAATGTTAAGCTGAAAAATTAGTATACATGAATCTGAAGCAAATAAATATGGATCCGTTGATCGGTTAAGGCTATTTATTTCAATGCTTTCCCGATTTATTCTTTGAAATACATTGTGTGACAGCATATTTCTGTGAAATTTGTTTCAGAGTAATCACGACAAATATTCTTACAAATATTTCCAAGTGTTGGGAAAAGCATTTTGAAAAACGTCGGAACGTTATCGTTCCTTATTTTGTCCATCAGAAGTTGCTAAAATTAGCCGCCGCGCGTATCGCGCCGATGACTCAACGCTTCACACACGTGTTTGTTACGTTTTCACGCGTGCGTACGTAGATTTTTGCCAGTTCGTCGCTCTCGCGTACAATGACGCATTGTTAATGCGACGGTTAATTACCGTGTCGTAGGAGAATCGATGAGAAATCATTGCACGGGC